GCTGGCAGGGGTAAGACCCTGCTCCTTCAACTCATCATACTAGAGACGGACACAAGATGGGCCTGTGTCGAGACACAAGGCTTTGCAACCAGGAAGAACGGTGAGTAGCATTTCAGCTCTTTCGTAACCGTAGCCTTAGATGATCAACTAACGTAACATTACCTAGGTAAGCCATACAACAATGATTATATATGGCTTACCCAGTGGAACGATGAGGGAAAGATTGTTTATGTTCGAAGCTACTTTGATACTATGCTTTCACAAGAGGCCCTACACGACAATGATCCCTAAGATAGTGCAAAAATCCTATGCTCTAAAAAATGAAAATCGCTCGTCATGACAAATACTTCGGCACCATCTTCTAAACATTACAGCTTCGTTCAAAGATTGCGATACACTATTTATTGAAATCATATCCGTGTTACAGGGCCTCTATCAACTCCGTACGCCAAAAAACAGTCATTTGATATGGTAGACAATTCGCGTACTTTCCGAAACTACTAGCTGGCGACGACATTTCCTACTCTGTCTTTCTTGAGATTGCAGCATCTCGCCGTAGAACCTCGTTTAATTGACTTCGTTCCATGCAGTTTTCCAGCCTGAAACTTGCAGCTAGTTCCTCGAGCTCTGCTTCGGTCTTCCCTTCGAATAACTCCGCCATCTCCCACCCTAGGTATTCACTCAGCAAGCACTCCCTTACAACACGCTCGACCTGGCGGTCGAACGACCAGACAGGTGGATATTTTCGCTTCTGGAGGTGCTCTGGTACCATTTCCTTCAGCTTGTTGATGAACGGGGCGTACACGTCTTTCTCCACGGCACCCTTGTCTACAACACCCCAGAAGTCCACGCCTAGGCGCTGCTTCTTCTCAACAAACGGTTGAATAAGTCGCATGTATGGGCTATCACGCCGGACTGATACCATGCCCTGATAACCGATGTCCTTATAGGTCCAGATCGACCAGCTGACGCCGCCAGCCTCTTGATAGAGCCGCAATTGCTCTCGAAGTAGCTCAATCCGATGTTCGTTGATGGCTGCCGCATCTTTGTCTACATGCGGGTCTGCATAGACGGGACCAAACTCTCCATTCCAGATCGGAGTTCCAGCTTCCTTCATAAAATGAACCTTGCGCTCGAAACTCGAGCGGAGCTTTGCTTTCTGGGCATCTGTGCCGGCGTATTGCTCCATGCCCGGGAAGCCCATCATGCTATAGTCGTGACATGAGTACACAGCGTTTGGCAGAGGCTTGTCGACCGGGAAGTGTGAAAAGTCCATGGCGTATGTGTTGCCGTCAATGAAGAGGATGTGCTCAGGATCAACCTCGCGGATTGCCTTTTCGGCCCGCACGTACCATTCAATGAGTCTCGTGTGTTCGGGGTCCGCAGGCTCATTGAGAGGATTATAGCCTGCGATGACAGGGTTGCCCGCGTAATGTTTGGCAATGGCGACCCATAACTGGATCATTCTGGTCTGGAAGTCTCGGAACTCCCAGAAGAGGGCGCGGCTGATACCCGAATCACTATGCCAGTCTTGATTTTGGCCTCCTGGCACCGCATGAAGGTCAAGCACGACGTAAATGTTGTGCTTGGCACACAGAGACACAATTCGATCAAGTACATCGAAGCCTGACTGCTTGATAACATCTGGGTTGTCGTCATCCATAAAATGCCTGTAATTGAAGGGTACGCGTAGACAGTTGAATCCAACAGAAGCAAAAAATGCGGCATCTGCTTCAGTGAAGAAGTGATGTATCAAGCGAGAGAAGAAGAACTCTGCCTTCTCCTTCCCTAGGACGGCAGCTAATGCAGCCCGGTGCTCATGTTCATGACCTGAGTAACCGGTTATGAAGTTCTCCATATTCAGAATTCCTCCCAGACCGGCTCCTTTCAGAATGACCTTTTGGCCTTCCGGATTAACAATATTGGTTCCGGAGACATGGAGTAACGTGCATGGGGGATTCTGGTTAGGTGCTTGCAGGCTCAGCGAAGGAGCTGTTCGGGTTTCAGTCTCAACTAGGCTACCCATTATGAAGATTATAGACACGGAATTCCTAAATTGAAGTGTTTGAATATGGATTGATGCGGTCGCACTTATGATACAAGAGTTGATCAGGGCGACTGATAAAGACATCTGTGCTGCCTTACATTTCACCGATACGCCTTCCTATTGGTTGATGCTGACGTCCTTGGGTGACTTTGCTTAACTGCGAGATTCCGCGACAAAAGTGGATCCAGCCCCTTTCTCACCAGCACATGACCTAATATTTACAGATTCCGTGACACCTTTCCGACCCCATGATGGGGAATGATGCGGAGTGAAGTGATTAGAGAGGCTATTATACCGAATTAGAGTTGCGCTATGCATTAGACTGCTGTGGTTGCCAATGCACGCGGTTTGATGCGGTTTCTCCCCCTGCGCGATTCAGCGCTGTTTCTAATACGCTGCGAGGTCTCCTAAGCTCTGGAGCCTCAAGCTCCCAATGTGTCAGGAGATCCAGAACGCGTACGACACCTTCGCGCCACGCGTATGGCGGTGGTGATCTTGCATTCAAATCAGGTTGATCATGCATTATCATGGCGCTTGCGACTAATATCAGCGCGCTTCGAGCACATGTACGGATCATAGGCCAAGTTCCGTGGTGGCGATGTCTAAAGCCTGGTTCGTTGACCTCAATGCGCTGCATATGTGTTCTGAGCCCCTTTTCGGCTAGTTGCAGGACGAATGCAGGGCGATCGCTTCCAAGTTCGTGTTCAAGAGCTGTGGCAGAAGCGCCAAGGCCCAGGATCGCGCACACAAACGGCCAATAAATTAGTTCGTATAGATTGATTAGATGGCCCCGCAAGACGAATCTGCACACATCGTCTTCGTGAGCTGGAGCACTGAACGATAATGGTGCAGGCAGTGAGTCGACCCACTGCTGAGCTTCGGTCTCCCACGTGGGGACAGCTAGAGCGGTGCTGGCGAGAAAGTTGCCAGGAAGATGAGCACGAGCTAGTTGTAGAATCTCTGCACATATCCGTGATGACAGTCTCCGCAATGAGATTTCGGCTAAATAGAAATACCAGGCTGTGGCCTCATGCTTGGCATTTGACCCAGGAACCTGGTATAGCGTCTCCTGTTGTAGGGGAGGTGTGGGGAAGAAGGATGGGTAGAAGCCGCGGTCCTCGTCAGCGAGAGAAAAGTCGGGGAGCCTTAGCTCACCACGTACCTCTCTCTCTGATTTCCATGATGACCAGTAGACTGCCTCTTGAAGGGCGTAGTCCCTAGACCCAGTCCTGTTCTGGGGATCTTCGTCTTGATCTGACGAAGGAGCGCCCAACTGCGTGAGGAAGGGAAACCCTTGACAAGCCACAACAGCCTGAATGAAAAACTTCCATGCCTTCTTAGGCTGGAAGATGCCCATCATGTACACTCCTGATAGAAATAGACACTGAGCCGCTACCATATCATCCGAACCGATCGAGGAGCCTAGGCGTCTTTCAGCAGCATGGAAGAACGCCTGAGCATTAGTGTACGCGGCAGTCCCCGGCATGGTAGTCTCGCTTGCTCCGAATGGTGTGGCTATGGATCCTAGCGCACAGATGAGCAAGTACAAGCATGAGCCCAACGACCAATCCACGCCATTGATTGTAGTAGAAGAGATCAGGCGACGGGCTGCTGCCTCATCTAGGACAGGATTTTTGACGTGGACGTAGCTGAAGAAACTCTCGACCAGGCTGTTCACCGTCTGTGGGGCATCCTCAAGTAAGGCGTTGAGAGCTGCCGGTGTGTGCGCCTGTACCAACGAGTTATGATTCGAGGACTGGCCATCCCACTTCCGCTTGTCCACATGCGGAGCGCTGTCTGGGCCACCAAATATGGGCCAGGCTAGAACATTTTCCAAGCGCTCAGGAAGAACACTACTGGGCTGGACTGGAGATGCAAATGGAACTGGCGAGACATCCTCGGCTGACTGCGGTGTACCTCCGAGGTAGGGGACTGCGCCCGAATGTGTCGGAATTGAGCGGACTAGATTTTCGACAACATCCAGCCTTTCAAGAATTTGGAGACTTGCCGGGTCAAAGCTCGATAAATCGACCGGGGATTGAATGCACGTAGCCCCCGTCTTCAGACAAAATGAACACGTTGGCTTGAGATTATCGCATTTTGTCCGGCGGGCGCGGCAGACCTGGCATGCAGTCACCGCGCGTTTTCTGGGGTAGGATGCAGTGCCCCTAGAGTGTGGTCGCTTTGAAGACCCATGGGACTGCACTGTCCGCTGCAAATCCGGGGAACTTGACATCTGGGGTGACAATCCAGGGATCGGCCGTTCGATGTTGTTGTGTGGAGAGTAGAAACACCGTAGGTGTTGAGGCGCGGAATGTCGCTCTTTAGTACTCAGATTCCAGCCATGTGCTCGCAAAGTACCGGAATGTGGGGAGAGATCGTGGGGAGATTGTGGGGTCTTCGCACTTATCAGATCATTTACTAGTGTCAGTCCACGAAACGCCACCGCGGAATATCGCTCAAAAGAACGACACTCGCGATGGCTTCACCTTCCAAAACGTCACTTGACTGCTTTGAATATGCTTTGTCGCGTACATCCAGGATGGCTACCCCTCCAAACCCGGAGGGTCTATATAATCAACGATGCGCCGCATGACTTGATCAAAGTTTTTTTATGGTGTAAGTAAATAAGAACACTTGGAACGAATACTTTTCATCTTCTGGTCTATTCCGTCTCTCATCATCTAATAATGGACAAACGTCCTGATCTCGACCACCTCGAGGCCGCAGTCTCCCAAGCTGACAAAGAGGAGTCTAAAATAAGCGCCGCCGCAACGGAGCAAGTACTCACCCTTCGAGATGTCTTTAAGAACCACAAAACGCTCGTTTGGTGGTGCTTTTTCTGGGCTATGTGCGCTGTTGGCTGGTAAGCCCCCTGGTTTGCACATGCGCAACTGTGATCCAGCTAACATCTGAGGGCAGGGGTTTTGATGCCCAAATCAACGGAGCAATGATTTCGGTGGCCTCTTTTCGACGCGATTTTGGGTGAGCCTTAGCTTGACAAACGATTTGTGACATAGTCCAAAGACTAATTTTAAAAAGCTATATATATGACGGCGAACCTGTGCTGCCTGCACAGTGGCAGACCGCCTTCAATGTCATTGGCACAGTCGGACAGTAAGTATTTGATCGAGCATGACAATCATGTCTGGATACGTAGGCTGACAGCATCTCCATCGTTAGATTCTTTGGTGGCTTCATGTGTAGCTGGCTCGCCGACCGCGTTGGCCGTAGATGGTCCCTTCTCATTGGAGTCATCTGGTGCGCTGGTGGCTGCCTTGGTGAGGTCTTCTCGGATACTCGAGGAGCCTTCCTAGCCTCCAAATTGATCTTCGGCGTTGGGCTCGGATTTTATCTCACCCTAGCGCCGCTAGCTTGCAGTGAAATCGCTCCGGTTGTGCTTCGCGGTGTATCGACGGCTGGCGTCAATCTTGGTATTGCGATCGGCCAACTGCTGTCAAACGCCTTCATCAAGGCGTTTGGTGAACGAGAAGATAAATGGGCCTACCGCGGACCATTCGCCATTCAACTCTTCTTTGGTGTGTTCCTCGCTGCAGGTCTAATCTTCGTCCCGGAAACCCCATGGTACCTGGCTCATAAAGGCAAAAAGGAGCTAGCTCTCAAATCTATCCGCAGCCTTTATGGAGACGGAGTCGATGCCGACCGCATGCTAGCTAGCCTTGAAAACACCATCCAGGAGGAGTCACGCAGCAACGAAAGACAATCTGAAATGAGACTCACAGATTGTTTCCGTGGGACCGACCGCCTCCGCTCTGGTATCTCAACAGGAGTGTTTCTTTGCCAGCATATGGTGGGAATCATCTTTGTTCTCGGATACTCCACTTACTTCTTCCAACTTGCAGGCTTGGATACCTCCAACTCTTTCGACCTAGGAGTTGGTGTGACGGCATGTGGCGTTGCTGGAAACTTCGCAAGCTGGTTCATTGTCGAATCTTTCGGTAGACGCAAGGTCTTTATATCGGGCATGGTTGCGTTAACATGTCTGCTACTGCTGATAGGCATCATGGACGTGGTCCCTACCGGTGCTGCTAAGTGGGTGCAGGCGTCCGCAACTGTCATCTATGCCTTTGTCTACTTCATGACGATTGGTGCAATGGCATTTGTTCTCCTCGGCGAAACTTCAAGCACTGCACTTCGGGCTCAGACCACAGCTCTTGCAACCGCAACACAAGCAATTTGTGGCCTCGTCATGAACTTCGCCGTTCCGTACATGGTAAATCCCGACGAAGGAAACTTGAAGGGCAAGGTCGGATTCGTCTTTGGCGGTTTGGCTCTCATTGGCACAATCGGAAGTTATTTCTACGTCCCAGAGCTCAGGGGAAAGACATTCGACGAGATCGACCGATTGTTCGCTGCAAAGGTTCCTCCACGAAAGATGGGCACGCATCAATTCTAGCCGCAAGACAATCCCGCAGTCCATCTGGACCATTGAAAGACATGCCATGTAAATTTACAAATAATTAGGGACCTGTAGAGATAGTCGAGCTTTACAGTAAAATTTTAGCTTCTTGCGAACTCAAAGTCACCCGTTATCTACCGACAGCTAAAACGCTCTAGCTTTCTCAGCGTAGCGACGTCGATGTCATCGCAGAACCATCTTAAGATATGCATTCCACCAGACTTGCTATCAATGAAACTGTTTCATATCTAAATGTAAATGATATTGTCTCCGCTCATTTCCGTCGTCGAGCTCATACAGAAGATATTGAGCGTGATCCGCCTGATGCTACTAGTGCTTGACTCAAGGCTCCAGATATCCAAGCCCTTCCGATCCAACACGCAAGTAGAGCCTCGCGGGATCTCATCGTCAACTCGGCCGTCAACTCAAGCTTTTGCTCTTTCTCGACTCCTAAAGACTTGCCAGTTGCGTCTTTCCACTCATACTTGCGATCACTGCTCGGCGCGCTGGTTCGTCTCCCATCCACCGCAAACAAAAGATTTCGGTTCCATTCATCCCGGGAATGATAGCCATGCTTTTGCATTCTCCTCTCGTTCTCAGGTCGCATCGCATCCGCAGCCTCGTTACGCGTCATATGCCAGAATTTGCACGACCATCCAATGCCAGTTTCAACTTGAATGTACCCTGGAAGGCATCTCGATCGGCAACCTTTAATCTCCACGCGACTACTTCCAATGAAGCCAAGCCCTTGAACCTCGTACACGAGCAAGTCATCATCGAAACTTGTAAAGGCAGCCGACTGCGCGGCAGGTCCTTGGAGCGATAATCGACGGGTTTCACTAGGTGCTAATGTCCGAATATGTAATTTGTATGGCCTACCTGAGCGGGTGAGGCTCTGTTCTATCTGGTACCGCGGGGTGTCCGAGAATCCAGATGAGGTATAAATGAAAGGAGTGCGCAAAATGAAGGCGTTGGCAGCCGGGTCATGACGTGCATATAGAGGTGGTGAAGATGGGCCGGGCGAGAGTTTAGAAGAAGAATCTTCTGGCGACGTGTAAGAAATGGTTTCGTCTACCAGCGATCTCACTACCTGTTTGGTGTCAACCCGTGATGATGTCGGACTGACGTCCGCAAGAGCCTCGTCATACGACGGCGGAAGCTCCGGCTCTGCCCGCTCACTAGTCATGCCCAGTGGACGACAGACAGCTGCGACATTGGCTTGTGTGGATTATAGTCTCCCGAAGACACTGTGCGGGTTTCTACCGTCTTGTTTTATAAATTTCGAGACTGACGTTTAGACTAGAGAGGTGTAGATGGAGAAGTCTGCCTATCGGCATCGAGCGGGGCAAGGCTCTAGAATAGGCATTTTCGCCACGCCGGACCGACCCGACAGCATCGAGACCAACAATCCCATCTTGCGAATGGTTTCTGTGAGAATAAACAGGACTCCTGCCAAACTAATCTCGACGTAGCACGATGCGTCGAAAGTATAAGAGCCTTAATTCCAAAGCAGATTGAACCGGTTGCGATCGAGTCCGTATTCTGGGGTCACTTCTACATTTATCTTTCCGTATGAGACATGGTCACTTTATGGGAGCAATAAGAGTATAATCAATGCATCACAGATTACGATGAGTCTAGAGACGAGACTCAGGCCTTGTGGAGCATTTTCTTATCTGCTTAAGCCATGCGACATCTTGAATGCTTCTGTCATGCGATATTACTGATCAAACAGGAGTTAATTTTTCGTATTGATTGAAAGCTAAATCTTTGACAACAAGCCATCAAATGCTCACACATTGCTTGTTCATGTCCAGGTGGTTTTCTTCTGTGTAAATCCTATTTACGGGACAGTAAGCAAATGGGGACGGCGTTTCATGCCGTGAGACTAATCCCATATCTTGCCGTACTAGAAAGATTGACCGAATCTACATGTGCCTATGTCATTGTGTATTCGAAAACTCTGCGATAAGAAAGGGGTTGCAAGGAGGCTACTTTGTAGGCCGTGTTTGGAGCTCACGTGATGTCCTACCTCCGAGGGCATCGGCGGAGTGGTTTCAGGGGCATCGGGGCAAATGTTACTCGACATTGTCGGGTTCCGAGTACTCACTCGGAGCTCTAATATTTTCATTCTCCAACGCGTCGCGTTCTTATCTCTGAGTGAGTCATGGTCAGTGCCCGAACAAGCACATATTTTTGATATTAAAGGCACACAATGACCTTCTTGCGATTCACAGTCAACGTTAAAACCACTCACCATCTAACATTTGCAATAACCCTTTTACAATAACTACTTGGTGTGAACCCGATATGCCGGAATTTCATAATGACAGCACTTCACCTAGCCGAGTGCCGTCTGTAAAAGGCGCGAGCTGTAACGAAACCGAAAAAGCCAAAGAATTGTCCGACGATCCCAATAATGTGACAGAAGATGATGGAGAAATAGTGCGGGAGCCAGAATACCCAACAAAGGCCCGACTCTTCATCATCGTCATCGCCGTCGCTCTTAGTATCTTCTTGATGTCACTTGATATGGTATGACTTTAAGTAATCCATTCTTTGACGGGCCACAGCTGATCAGGCTCGTGGCAGACAATTGTGGCAACAGCAATCCCCAAAATCACCGACGAGTTTCAAGGTCTCGATCTTGTTAGCTGGCATGGCTCGGCATTCATGATGTGTGTTGGTGGTTTCCAGTCGACTTGTAAGTGGGTATACTTCATACAACCGCTTGAGTGGTGCTAAGAATATGATAGGGGGAAAGATATATAAATACTTCCCGTTGAAAGCAGCCTTTTTGGTGGCAATGTTCCTATTTGAGGCTGGCAGTCTCTTATGCGGCAAGTTGCTACTATCTTCTACTACTCCATTCACGGCCTCTAATAATACCTAGCGGTAGCGCCGAACCCACAAACACTTATCGTCGGTCGAGCAATATCAGGCGTGGGCGCTGCAGGTCTAGGTTCAGGATGTTACATTATTGTCGCCTTCGCCGCATCTCCTCGTCGTCGACCCCTATATACCGGAATACTTGGCGCATCATACGGAATCGCGAGTGCTGTAGGACCTTTAGTTGGCGGAGCTTTTGTCGATCACCTTAGCTGGCGTTGGTAAGCATCATTTGCACTTTTTCGAGATAGGGCAGTAGACGCTAACGTTATCTTGAGGTGCTTTTATATTAACCTACCAATCGGGGGCGTTTCTGCAGCAGTAATCTTTGCCTTCTTCCGTGTTCCTGCCGTTACCATGCGCAAAGCGAGCCTCCGAGAGAAGATACTACAAATGGACCTACTTGGAACCGCATTGATTATGGGTGCAATTGTATCTCTACTTTTGGCTTTACAATATGGCGGCCAAAGCCTACCCTGGAGATCATCACTAGTGATTGGCCTTCTGGTTGGGTGTGTACTCATATTGGCTGCGTTCAGCACATGGACGGCCGCCCAGGGGGAAAGATCAATGGTGCCACCTCGTCTTCTCAAGCAGAAGAATGTCTTTGTGTCCGGCATATTTGCGTTTACACTGGTCGGGGGTTACTACTTGGTACTATATTCCCTACCTATCTACTTCCAATCAGTCGACAATGCCACAGCGACGGGGTCCGGTATCAGGAACCTTCCATTGATATTGGCCGTCTCGATTTGCACTATCATCTCCGGGGCTTTGATTAGCACGTACGGCTTCACTATACCAATTCAAGTCATTAGTGCTGTTTTAGTTGCTCTAGGGTCGGGGCTACTTTACACACTCGACATTACCCCTTCTTTGGGAAGAGCCATTGGATTTCAAATAGTTTGTGGTGTTGGCTGGGGTTTTGCTATCCAGTCACATATCATTGCTGTGCAAGCCAGTGTGCCAGACGAAGATATACCAACTGCAACCTCTATCGTGCTCTGTGAGTCGCTTGCGATCCACATCATCTTTTGACACATGTTTCTTACGTCAAATATAGTGTTTCAGACAGTCGGTAGCGCGTTATTCATCGCGGGTGGTCAGTCAGCGATGGTGAATACCCTCTTAGACGAACTGGCTCGCAGTTCACCATCAATCGATAGCTCTTTGGTTGTCGCAATAGGGGTGACAGAGATCCGGAATGTTTTCTACGGCGCAGAACTAAGGGCCATCCTTCTCGCATACATGGCAGGACTGAGAGTGACGTTCGCTATCGCTACGGGTGGTGCAGGCGCTGCACTTCTTATTATTGTGATAGGCATTAATTGGAAACGGGTATAGCTTGTCGTATTTGAAAGAATCAGGTCGCGCCATTCATATATCAAACCTTCCCACCATATAAAACTCCTTCTTCATCTGTTTGTATTTTGATAGAGGATAGGAATAATAGGGTACAATAATTTGATGGTCCAGTGCCAGAGTTTCAAGCCTGAGTCCTTCCCACATCTAGATGTTTAGACTTGAATTTCAAGCGACTGATCTCAAAGGTTAGACTCACTAAGCCAGCATTTAAAAGTAATTATTAGACTCACCAATGGTAGATTTCTTGAGCTAGATCCGACATGAACCGTGACGGTGCGACCCTTTGGGTATCGCCATTTTTGAAGCACCACATCCCAAATCATAACATCTTTTCGACGAATACTATTGGGACGAATTAGTGAGCTTTTGTGCTGTAAATTCAACTAGGTTTGTGCTCACGCAAAGACAGCTGTCTTCTCACTGTTCGGATTAATGTTCTTGAGTTTCGTGAAACCTCGAAGCAACTTTGGCGGCTCCTCCTCAACGGCAGGAAATTCGACGTACTAGTAGAAAGGTCATTGGGAGCGAACGAGGTAACTTTATACATGGAAACTTACGAGCTGAGCCACCTCTGATGCTGTCCATGCTCCGGTGTTGCTCACTTTCGCCGTCACGCTGAACAGGACATCATAGATTGACTCCCCCTTTTTCTGGCAAACGAATTTCTCATTCGTAGTCTGAACTGCATATTTATCAGGATAACTAGATCTGTCAATCCTAATGTCCTCATAATTAAAAGTCGT